CTCCCATCTCAGCCTCCCAAGTAGCTGGGACTACAGGCACGTGCCACCGTCCTAGGCCATGTTTTAAAATTATTCTATCGCAGAGATGGAATCTTGGTTTGTTGCCCAGGCTAGTCTTGAACTCCTGGTCTCAAGCAATTCTCCTGCCTCTCAGCTTCCCAAAGTGCTGGGATCATATCTTTTTAATGATATGGCTTTTTTTTTTTTTTAACCACACCCAGCCTCATTTTTTTTAAAAAAAATCACATCTAAGATCAAATATGAACATCTCAGAGCTGGTCCATCCTGTTTGTTAGGAGGAGAAACAGGACAGAGAGGGGGAAGAACCTACTTGGGGACATGTGGTCATGGATTGTTCTGGAATGGGAGCCCCCTGACTCCTTGGCACAGGGACCCCCCTGTCTGCTGCACCCTCTTTCTGTGAAGCTTTTCAAGCCCCCATTAATGGCAGCTTCTTTTTCCCCTGTACCAGTGACCGGCTTCGCACAATGACCAACGTTCTGGGAGACTCAATTGGAGCAGCCGTCATCGAGCACTTGTCTCAGCGGGAGCTGGAGCTTCAGGAAGCTGAGCTCACCCTCCCCAGCCTGGGGAAACCCTACAAGTCCCTCATGGCACAGGAGAAGGGGGCATCCCGGGGACGGGGAGGCAATGAGAGTGCTATGTGAGGGACCTCCAGCTCTACCCCCCAAGAGAGGAGGGAAGGGGCCTGGGGAAGGGAGTCCTGGGAACACATGTGCCACCCAACTGACCGTGGGCTGAACACACATGTTCTGCTTGACTCGTTTAAGGGGGAGGGAAAAGTGTAATAAAGGAGCAGGAATGAAAGGTATACAAGGTCTCTGTTTCTCTCTGAGCACATGCTGAGGGCTTGAAGGACAGCGTGAGCAAGGGAGGGAAATAAATGTTTCTCCTAGGTTTGGGGAGAAGGGAAGCTTCAGCTTCAACAAGAAGAGGGGTCAACTCATGTTTCTTATATTCTCAAAGAGTGGCGGAACTGAAGAGGGTAAAGAAAAACCATTATTTCTCCTAATAAAACAATAGCCATGGTCTCTGTGTCAGGGGTCCCCCAAGACCACCTTTAGGTTCAGCAATTCACTAGAAAGGCTCATAGAATTCAGGGCCGGACACGGTGGCTTATGCCTGTAATCCCAGCACTTTGGGAGGCTGAGGCGGGCAGATCACCTGAGTTCAGGAGTTCAAGACCAGCCTGGCCAACATGGTGAAACCCCGTCTCTCCGAAAAATACAAAAATTAGCTGGGCGTGGTGGTGGCTACCTGTAATCCCAGCTACTCGGGGCGCTGAGGCAGGAAGACTGGCTTGAACCCGGGAGGTGGAGGTTGCAGTGAGCCGAGATCGCACCATGGCACTCCAACCTGGGTGTCAAGAGCGAAAGTCTGTCTCAAAAACAGAAACAAAACAACAACAAAAAAATAAACCAGGCACAGAAAAACACATTACATGTTCTCACTTGTATGTAGGAGCTGAAAAAATTGAACTCATGGAAACAGAGTAGAATGATGGTTACCAGAAGCTAGGAAGGGCAGTAGGGAGGAAGGATAAAGAAGGGATGGTTAACAGATACAAAAATACAGTTAGAAGGAATAAAATCTAGTATTTGGTAGCACAATAGGGTGACTATAGTTAATAATTTGTTGTATATTTCGAAATAACTAAAATGTGGAATTGGAATGTTTATAACACAAAGAAATGATAAATGCTTAAAGCGATAGATACTCCAATTTTCTTGATTTGATTATTATACATTGTATGTTTGTGGAAAAGTTTTGTACGTACTCCATAAATATGTACAACTATTATGTATCCATAAAGATTAAGAATAAAAATTTAAAAACTCAGTCAACTAGAATTTTAAAAAATCTAAGATTATAAATGATCAAAGGAGGTAAACTCAAAATCTAGTAAAAATAAATGCAAGTAAATCACTATACAATGTATACATGTATCAAATCATGTCATACACCTTGAATATGTACAATGTCTATTCGTCAATTATACCTCAGTAAAGCTGGAAAAAAGAGTTACTATAAAAACATCAAACACAAAAAGATCGAGCACGCTCATTTTCATGAACAATCAAAGGAAGTCAAATTAAAATATCAAAGGAAACAATAAATCTTACTCATGGGTTTAATTTATTTCTGAGGCTGCAGCCCCCAGACACACAATATTTCTTAGTTGGGGAGTGTAATTCCAGAAGTAAGAATTTATGTCAGAGAATTCCTGGTTCCTTTGAGGTTTAACTATTATTATTAGAAGGTTTGACTAGAGGTAGCTGTCATGGCTGAGTGGCGACTGTCTGGGGCTGGTGGTGTGGAGGATAAGAAGAATTTACCAACACAGTTGTAGGTAAAGAAAGGCAGATTTATTGGAGAAAGTATGAAAATACGTTGCAAGGAAGCAATGGGCAGGCCAGCAATAGAAGAGCTGACTGCAAAGAGACAAAAGCTTGCTGGGGATTTTATAAGACAGTGCTTGTGCTGTGTGCTGAAGAGGGCTTTGTACAATATTGATCACACCAAGGTTGCAGTGAGCTAACTTCCAATTTTTGTATCAGCCGAGGGTCTGGCGATAGCTGAGTGCAGGAAGATTGTGAATTATTTGCACAGGAGGGCTTTGTGTCCGGGACCATGAAGAAAGGCAGACTTCTATCTGCTGCTTCTTTTTGCTTTCCCTTGGTCTCACCAGCCTGACTCCTTTTCCCTAATTAGGACTCCACAGTAACGTAACAAAAGGCCTGGGAGAGCCGTCTGATTCCTACAGCCCTGCGTTGGAACCTTGTCACTACATTTATTACCTTGAGCTAGTTACCTACTCACCATAAGCTCTTACTTTCTTATTTGTAAATATGAGAACTAATACTAATCACATAAAAGAGTTATTGGAAACATTAAATGAGGTAATGTACATAAAGCTCTTAAACTGTGCTGGTATAGAAAGTGTTATTAATATCAACATCAATAACCTTGAATTTTTTTTCTAGCTTAACAACTTAATTATTATTATTATTATTATTATTATTTAGAAACAAAGTCTCACTCTGTCACCCAGGCTGGAGTACAGTGGCATAATCACAGCTCACTGCAATCTCAACCTCCTGGGTTCAAGCTATCCTCCCACCTCAGCTTCCTGAGTAGCTGAAACTACAGGCATGCAGCACCATGCTGGCCAAAAGCTCTAATCAGATTAATCAGTTTGTATATTTCTGGTCCAGATCTTATTTTCTATTTAACCATCCACCCATCTATTTTTCTACTCCATTTGACAAATATCATGTAAACATGAACTCCTTTCCAAGGAGTACCAGGCATTGTGATTGCAAAAATGGGTAAGACATTGCTCTGAAATTCAAGGGACCGATATTGTGAAAGAGTAGAAGTGAAGTAAAGTTAGTGTGACTGAAAGGAAAGTGAATTGGATTAAAAAAAGGGGGCAACTCTTTGAGCTATTTTTACTCATGTAACCTCAAAAAACATCTCTGTAAATGAGTTTCCAGGGCAACATGTCCAAAATAGGGACATATCTCATCGCTTCTGACAGTATATATTTAACATGTAAGATTTGATATGTGTATATTTTTAACTCAAATCAGGCCGGGCGCGGTGGCTCATGCCTGTAATCTCAGCACTTCAGGAGGCTGAGGCAGGCAGATCGCTTGAAGTCAGGAGTTCGAGACCAGCCTAGCCAACATGGTAAAACCCTGTCTCTACTGAAAATACCAGGATGTGGTGGTGCATGCCTGTAGTTCCAGCTCCTCAGGAGGCTGAGTCAGGGGAATTGCTTCAACCTGGGAGGTGGAGCTTGCAGTGAGTCAAGATGGCGCCACTGCACTCCAGCCAGGGCAACAGAGGGAGACTCTGTCTCAAAAACAAAAACGAAAAACAAAATCCAAATCATTACTAAAGATAACTGAGAAAACACCAGGTTGTATTCATGCAAAGTTAAAATTACTGGTTAGAAAGTCAAAAAGCATAATCCTATATAACTTTGTTAGCAGTAGCAAGGGCAGGAAACGTTCCAAAGGAAGATACTAGGGAAGAGATGCTTTAAAATGTATAAAAGAAGGCAGGTGCGGTGGCTCATTGCCTGTAATCCCAGTTCTTTGGGAGGCCAAGGCAGGCAGATTACCTGAGGTCAGGAATTCGAGATCAGCCTGACCAACATGGTGAAACCCCATCTCTACTAAAAGTACAAAAATTAGCCGGACGTGGTGGCGAGTGCCTGTAATCCCAGCTACTTGGGAGGCTGATGCAGAAGAATCACTTGAACCCGGGAAGTGGCAGTTGCGGTGAGCCAAGATTGTACCATTGCACTGTAGCTTGGGTGACAGAGTGAGACTCCTTCTTGAAAAAAAAAAAAAAAGTGGCTGGGCGCTGTGGCTCATGCCTGTAATCCCAGCGCTTTGGGAGGCCGAAGCGGGTGGATCATGAGGTCAGGAGTTTGAGACCAGCCTGGCCAACATGGTGACACCCCGTCTCTACTAAAAATACAAAAAATTAGCCGGGCATTGTGGCGCATGCCTGTAATCCCAGCTACTAAGGAGGCTGAGGCTGGAGAATCACTTAAACCTGGGAGGCGGAGGTTGCAGTGAACCGAGATCATGCCATTGCACTCCAGCCTGGGCAACAGAGCAAGACTCTGTCTCAAAAAAAAAAAAAAAAAAAAATTGCATAAAAGCAGAAGTGAAAACATTGGCTGAAAGAGGCCAGTCTGGCCTCGGTATTGTGTTCACTGCAATTCATGAGAGCTCGGCAATGGTTCCCTCATTGGGAGACGTTGCCCTGAGGAGGAGTCTCCCCAGTGACCCCTTCATGTCCCTGTTCCTCAGGCTGTAGATGAAGGGGTTCAGCATGGGGGTGACCATGCTGTACATCACCGAGGCCATCAGACTTCTCCTAGAAGATGGTGTAGCTGCAGAACTGAGATAGACCCCAAGGCCCGTGCCATAGAACAAGCTGACCACTGAGAGGTGGGAACCACAGGTGGAAAAGGCTTTGTGCAGGCCTCTGGCAGATGATACTCTCAGGATGGAGGAGAAAATCTGAGAATAAGAGAACAGGATTCCAGAGAGAGGAAAAACACCCAGGACAATGGTCATAAAATACATCACGATGTTATTGATGAAGGTGTCAGAACAGGAGAGCTTCAAGACTTCAGAAGGATCACAAAAAAAGTGTGGAATTTCCATGTTTGTGCAGAAGGACAGCCTCAAAATGGTCAAGGTCTCGAGCAGGGAACCCATGACACTGATGCACCAGGACCCCAGAACCAGCAGCCCACAGAGCCGGGGGTTCATGATGACCAGGTAGTGCAGGGGGTGACAGATGGCCACGAAGCGGTCATAGGCCATCACGGTCAGGAGCAAGTTGTCCAGGCATCCAAATGCAGTGAAAAAAAATATCTGGATGAGGCAGCCTGCAAAAGTGATCATTTTGCTTTGTGTTTGGATATTCACTAGCATCTTTGGGACAGTCGTGGATGCGAAACAGATGTCAGCAAAGGACAGGTTGGAGAGGAAGAAGTACATGGGGGTGTGGAGGTGGGAGTCTGAGCTGATGGTCAGGATGATGAGCAGGTTTCCGGTGATGGTGACCAGGTACACGGAGAGGAACAGCCCATAGAGAAGAAGCTGCATGTCAGAGTCCTCTGCGAATCCCAGGAGGAGAAAGTTTCCAACTTCTGTTTGGTTTCCTCTTTCCATGGGGCTGCTGGATTTACTGAGAAGGAGGCAAAAACAACAACAACAACAGCAACAACAACAAACAGCCACACAAAATTTACTCAAACCCAGGGAACTTAAGAAATCACACATGTTGGCTAATTATTGGATTTCTGTGCCGACAAGTTACAGTTACCATCGCTACCTGGAGAAGTCATCTCTACATCACTGGTCCTCAAACTGTGGTTCCTAGAACAGCCCCATCAACATCACCTGGGAACTCATTATATATGCACCTTATCATGCCCGCCTGACCAACTGAATTAGATACTCTGGGTTTGGAGCCCTCATTCTGGTGTGTGTTTGTTTGTTTGAGATGGAGTCTTGCACTTTCGCCCAGGCTAGAGTACAGTGGCACAATCTCGGCTCACTGCAACCTCCACCTCCTGGGTTCAGGGGATTCTCCTGCCTCAGCCTCCAGAGTAGCTGGGATTACAGGCACACCCAGCTAATTTGTGTATTTTTAGTAGAGACGGGGTTTCACCATGTTGGTCAGGCTGGTCTCGAACTCCTGACTTCCTGATCCTCCCGCCTTGGCCTCCCAAAGTGCTGGGATTACAGGCATGAGCCACTGCACCTGGCCTTTTAATTTTTAATTTTTTTTTTTCTTTTTTGAGACAGAGTCTCACTCTGTTGCCCAGGCTGGAGTGCAAAGCTGTAATCTCAGCTTGCTGCAACCTCAGCTTTCCAGGTTCAAGGAATTCTCATGCCTCAGCCTCCTGAGAAGCTGGCACTACAGGTGCAAACCACCGCGCCCAAGAAATTTTTTTTTTTTTTTTTTTTTTTGTAGTTTTAGGAGAGACGGGGTTTCTCCAAGTTGGCTAGACTGGTCTCAAACTCCTGACCTCAGATGATACGCCCGCCTCAGCCTCCCAAAGTGCTGGTATTACAGGCATGAGCCACTGTGCCCGGCCTGCATTCTGGGTTTTAACAAGCCCTCTAGGGAATTCTGATGCACACTCAAGTTTGAGGACTATTGCTTCAACGCTTGCCTGTGTCCCTAAGCAATCATCCCCTCCCCAGCATCCCTGGCTGCTCTTGCCCTTTCTGCCTAAGGCATGGGAATTAGGAAATTAGAGAGTGAAAATTTCCTAATTCTAGGCAGATTTCCAATCCTCAGAAGGCTTTTTCTTCTATTGTGCTGCATTCCTGTAATTTGTTTTTCATTCTGTTTTAGAGATAAGGTCTTGCTCTGTTGCCCAGGTTGGAGTGCAGTGGCACCATCCTAGCTTACTGCAGCTTCCAACTTCTGGGCTCAAGTGATCCTCCCACTTCAGCCTCCCAAGTATCTGGGACTACAAGCCACTGTGCCCGGCTGTAATTTCTACATGTTAAATCCTCTGGATCTTGGATGCTCCTTCTGCTAAAAAATAATAACCACTGTTATTTTTTTTTATTTTTTATTTTTTATTTTTTTATTTTTTATTTTTTTGAGGCGGAGTCTCGCTCTGTCGCCCAGGCTGGAGTGCAGTGGCCGGATCTCAGCTCACTGCAAGCTCTGCCTCCCGGGTTTACGCCATTCTCCTGCCTCAGCCTCCCGAGTAGCTGGGACTACAGGCGCCCACCACCTCGCCCGGCTAGTTTTTTGTATTTTTTTAGTAGAGATGGGGTTTCACCGTGTTAGTCAGGATGGTCTCGATCTCCCGACCTCGTGATCCGCCCGTCTCGGCCTCCCAAAGTGCTGGGATTACAGGCTTGAGCCACTGCGCCCGGCCATAACCACTGTTATTAATAATCATTGTTTACATTTCATTTATATTATCAATTTCCCTACCTAAACTCAACAAAAAAAATGGAATTTTGAAATAGAAAAGTCCTAGGGTTTCTAGATATAGAATTAAATTTTACCCCCATTTTCCATCATCTGATTCTCATCAGATCAAAATATTCTGCCACACAGAAATGGCTCTTTAAAACCTGCCCATGTTGGACGTTTACTTACTTTCTAAGTTTTCTTGAATACAAAGAAAGTTTTTGATTAATTTGAGTTTTATATTTTCTTCTCTTAGGATAATCTGTAAATGGCCTTTCTCAGTTTTAAAAAAAATTAAGACATTTCCGGCCGGGCACGCTGGCTCGGAATCAATAAAAAAAAAAAAAATCAAAGGACTTCCTAATATAATACTAATAGTTGAGATGTTATGTGGGGGAGTATTACATTAAAATATCATTAAGAAATTAACATAATCTATATGTGTATTTTTAACACATGAAAAAAAAATGTCTACCCAATGACACGATCTTGGTTCACTGCAACCTGTGCCTCCTGGGTTCAAGCGATTCTCCAGCCTCAGCCTCCCAAGTAGCTGGGATTACAGGCATGTGCCACCGTGCCCATCTAATTTTGTATTTTTAGTAGAGATGGGGTTTCACCATGTTGGTCAGGCTGGTCTTGAACTCCTGACCTCAGGTGATCCACCTACCTCAGCCTCCCAAAGTCCTGGGATTACAGGTGTGAGCCATCTTCCCTGGCCTCCTTTAGTTATTTTAAATAGTGTTTTAAAAAGATATAAATAAGTGTTTAATGATTAATTTGTTAGAAAAAATAATGTTAAATCCCATCTCTGTAGTCCCAAATACATTTCAAACAGACAAGAGACTACTTAAGCTATCTGAAGAAAACATGGATAAACATATAGATGATATATATTTATACATGGATAGATATAATCTTTGAAAGTGCAAATTCTTTCTGAATAATTCACCTTTGATAGAAAAAGGACATCAGCAACTGGAACCGTACATTGAAAAATTCTGAATGAGAAAATGTGTCTTACAGAAAGTTAGAATGCAAAAATAATCTATTTAACTGACAAAAGTTAGTATCATTATAAAGATAAGTATAAATCATTGAAATATTAATGCATTGCTGGGGAAAATAAATAGAATATTAAAGTTTCATAAAATGAACAGTAAAAATGGTAATAAATGTTTGAGAAAATGTTTTGTTTTTACTGTTACTCTAAAAAAGTAAAATTAACAATAACATACCCCTTTCACTGAGGGAATTAAAATGTCTGCATGAAAGAAGAGTAAGAATGCAAAATTCTGGCTGGGCGCGGTGGCTCACGCCTGTAATCCCAGCACTTTGGGAGGCCAAGGCAGACGGATCACGAGGTCAAGAGATCGAGACCATCCTGGCCAACATGGTGAAACCCCGTCTCTACCAAAAATACAAAAATTAGCTGGGCGTGGTTGCACGCGTCTGCAATCCCAGCTACTCGAAGCTACTCGGGAGGCTGAGGGAGAATTACTTGAACGCAGGAGGCTGAGGTTGCAGTGAGCCGAGATCGCGCCACTGCACTCCAGCCTGGAGACAGAGTGAGACTCCATCTAAGAAAAAAAAAAAAAAAAAGCAAAATTCTATCATGTTGAAAGAAAACATTTCAGATACTACTATGAAAAGACATTTGGTCTCCTTTTCTGAGCTAGAGAAATGAACTCAGCCTATGGATCTCTTACAATTACACACATTGGCACCAAAAAAAAAAAAAAAAAAAAAATCTATAACAACACACCCCAAAGCATGAAGAGGGATCATCTTTGAGTGTTCATATTAATCTTGATTTTTAGATTCTTTTTTAGTATATTGTTTGAAAATTGCAAATGAATACATGTGCGGCCTATCCTCAAGAAATAAAAACTTAAAAATTTGAAGATATTGTCAATACAAATGTTACGAAATCAATATTGTAAAATTTGATTTTGTTAAAAATTATCAGAAAACATTTAACATTCTGTTAAAACAGAAAGAAGTAGCAATAAAGATCAGAGCAGAGTTAATGAACTAAAAAGAAGAAATATTCTGGAACTGAAAAATAAATTCCCGAGCTAATTCTTCGGCAAACACAAACAAATAGAAAAAATTAGATACAAGTGTAACAAAAGGGATACAAAGAGGGAGAAATAACAGAAAGGCCTGGAACCAAGAATGAGAAAAAAAATGAACACAGAGGTAAGGAAACGCTCAACTTTGCAAGATAATGTTATTTATAATGCCATGTTAAAAATATTAAAATATCCAAGAAACAAACTTATTTCTGGAAAAATATAAGTGCCCAAAGTTGATTCAGGATGGAGGAAAACAGATCAATAACCAAGGAAGAAATTAAATAAAAAACTGAACTTACTTCCAAAAATGATCTGGTGAGGCTGTGTGGCAGGAACAACAGGAGAATTCTCCTTTAAGAATTAAAAAGGAAAGGTATGTTTATCATTAGTAATTATTTGTCAGTGCCCTGGAAGTTTCAACCAATGCAATCCAAGGTGAAAAAGAAATGAGACCTGTATTAAAAAGGCAACGCAACTTTGTTTTCAGATGATGAATTGGTGGTGGATGATGGATTGGTAGCTGAAAACTTTTGGTAGCTGAAAACTTTCTTTCTCTCTCCCTTCCCTCCTTCCTTCCTTCCTTCCTTCCTTCCTTCCTTCCTTCCTTCCTTCCTTCCTTCCTTCCTTTCTCTTTCCTTTCTTTCTTCCTTTCTCTCTCCCTTCCTTCCTTCCTTCCTTCCTTCCTTCCTTCCTTCCTTCCTTCCTTCCTTCCTTCCTTCCTTCCTTCCTGGCAGAGCCTCACTCTTCTCCCAGGCTGGAGTGCAGTGGCACGATCTCAGCTCACTGCAACCTCCACCTCCTGGGTTCAAGCGATTCTCCTGCCTCAGCCTCCTGAGTAGCTGACATTACAGACGCACGCCACCACACCTGGTTAATTTTTGTATTTTTGGTAGAGACGGGGTTTCACTATGTTGATCAGGTTGGTCTCGAACTCCTGACCTTATAGGCCCCCCACCTCAGCCTCCCAAAGTGCTGGGATTATAGGCGTGAACCACCAGGCCCAGCCTGAAAACTTACTTTAACTGAGCATGATTTTAGTAAGGCAGCTGAAACAAAACAAATACATAAAAAGCGGTAGCCGTTGTAAGGTGGCATTCAGAGGTACATTCAGAATGTTTTTTAACCATTGCTTTTATCTAGTTCCCATGGGAACAGGCATGGGAATTATGGGAACTCTGTACTCTCTTTGTAACGACTCTGTAAATCCAAATCATTCAAAAATAAAAATTAACAAAAAAGTGAGTCCAAGGGAAAATAAAAGTAGCATTTATATGTACGGTT